TGTACAGAAGCGGAAACTAAGACTCAGATGTGCTTTTCTGGGTGTGTATCTCTACCTTTCAGCTCCTGGCCCGATGCTTTTGGGATCACATCTCTCTCCTTATTCCTTTGTTTCAGAAATTCCCACGGCGGAATAATGCGCGATGAAGAAACGGGCTCAGGCTGTAGAACGCTGGGTACATGCCCAGCGCCTGTCCCTCGGCTTCCCTGGCCCAGCTGGGACTGGGTGGAGCCAGGGACTTCTACCCGCTGGGGGCTACAGGCCTTTACCTGGGTGCAGGCTCAGAGCTAACCCAGTAAACCAGTGGCCATTCGTTTGGGGAACCGTACGGTGACCTCTGTTTCTATCGGGAAGAGGCCCTGTAATTGAGCCTCTTCCTGGGAGCTGCGGACTCCCGGCCACTTGCTGTGGGACCAAGACCTCCCAGCAGGCTGTGGGCGGCAGGCACACTCCCCAGCCCTGCGGTGTCCCGCTGTGCTTCATGGCACGTGAGCTTGCACCTTGAAAAGCTGTCACAGGGCTTCTGTGACAATTCTGAGCCAACGGGGGTGGGGCACCTGAACCAGAGAGCAAGGACCAGATTGGGCCTGAAGGTCGGCGACACCCAACTGGACCTAAGTCTCCCCCTGCTCTCTGAGTGGTTTTAGACAAGTCACTTGCCCTGAACCTCCATTCTCCATGTGGACACCGTGAACCCCGGGCCGTACATTCTCAGAAATCCCAGAGGTTCCTTCCAGCTGGAGTAGGCTGAACAGTGGCCGCCCAGAGATACCTGGTCTTAACCCGTAAACATCACCTGAGAAGGAAAAGGGTCTTTGTAGTTGAGATTAAGTTAAAGATCTTCATATGAGGAGATTGTCCCGGATTATTTCAGCAGGCCCTAAATCAAATCCCAGGTGTCTTTGTGAGAGAGAGGCAGGGTGTCCAGCCAGTGAGGCTCAGTGGTTGAGCGTCGACCCATGCACCAAGGGGTGGCCAGTTCGATTCCTGGTCAGGACACATGCCCAGGTTGTGGGCCCGATCCCCAGTGGGGGGCATGCAGGAGGCGGCCAATCGATGTTCTCTCTCTTTGATAGAAACATTGATGTTTCTATCTCTCTCTCCCTCTCACTTTCTCTCTCTCTGAAATCAATAAAGAAAAAAAAAATTTTTTTTAAAGAGAGAGGTAGGGTGAGATACACACACACACACACACACACACACACACACACGAGATGATGATGTGAAGGCAGAGACAGAGATGAGCGTGACGTGGTCACACAGGAATGGGACAGCCTGCAGGGAATGTTCCCTCGGCCTCCGGAGGGCGTGTGGCCCCATTAAAGCGACGCTGACCTCGGGCTTCCGAACGACGTGGAACACATTTCTGTTGTTCCAGCCGCCATGTTTGTAATTTGTTATGGCAACAGGAGGGAATGAGTCCACTCCGAGGGCATCGGGTCTCACCTGTCCTTGCTGCCCTTCTACCCAGCAGAGCCTGTCATCTCACGTGCTGCCTGTTTAGAAACAGAACAAGACACTGTCTTGCTTTCCACCTGCAGAGAGACCAAGTGCTCAGGTGGCCACACAGTCCCCACCGCCCTCGCTTGGCACGTGTGTCCGCGGTTGCCCCCAGCCCAGCGCAGCCCCCGCCCTCTGCTCCCTGCGCCTTCTCAACCTCGTCCTCACGAGTCAGTTTCCAACCGAGCATCTTGCATCAGAAAAGACGGGAATTTAATGACCTTGTGATCATTAGTCTGTGAATAATGAAGACAACATTCATTCCGGCACCAAGTATATTCATTCAGTAAATATTTCTTGAGCATCACTGTGTGCCAGCCACAGGCCACAATAGGGAGCCTGTGACAATGGGGAACCTGGCGGGGAAAGAGCTCCTTCTAACGGAGCTGGTGCTGCGGAGGGTCACGCACAATGAAGCTTTTATGTATGTACTCCAGCTCCGACTGCAGCGACATTCTAATTTTCCAAGATGGTTAGCAGGGCATCAGAGCCATGTCTCTGCTGGTGAACTTCCTCACAGAGTGTTCCCTGGCTTGAATTTCTATAAGGGGTCCTGAGAAATGTTTGGAGCACTGAAGACAGCTCTTGGGGCTAAGCAATACAGAGCTGGGGTCATAAGAGGGTCCTCTTATTTCTCTACATTCCACAGGACATGCCTGTGCTCACGTTACCCCTCCAGTCAACTCAGAGCTCTGGACTCTGAGGAGGGTGCTGGAGGAGTGAAAACACTATGGGGGTGCCCTGGCCAGTGTGGCTCAGTTGGTTGAGTGTTGCCTCATGCACCAGGAGCTCACCAGTTTGATTTCTGGTTGGGACATGTTGCCAGAGTTGCAGGCTTGATCCCCAGTTGGGGGCGTGCAGGAGGGAGCTGATCAGTGTTTCTCTCTCATCGATGTTTCCCTCTGTCTCCCTCTCCCTTTCTCTCTCTTTCTGCAATCAATAAAAACACATTAGAACAGGGAACAAAACACTATGGGGAAGAAAGAAGAATATTCTAATTGTCCTTCTTTTCATCACTTCTCCAGACTCCAGATGCTCTCAGAAGGAAAAACAGCAGTAACACCAATGGGATTTCCTCCCTCCAGCACATCCTCTCTTGGAGCCGTGACTCAACTTCCTGGGCTGAAATGATGCCCCTTGAAATGAGGCTCCCTGCCCCTGGGGACTCCAGTGGAAAAACCGAGTCATTTCTGATGTCTGCTTCTCCTTCAGACCCACTTCGGGGCATCCCAACATTGTTTAAAATATATCCAGAATTCTACTACTTCCTTCTACTTCTTCACGTCCACCCATGTCCAAGCCACCATCACTTCCTGTTTTGACTCCTGTGGCAGGATGCTGACCCTTCTCATTGCTCTTACACATTCCTCCCTACCCCTAATCCGTTCTCCACGTATGACCACAGAGAGTCTTTCAGTACACTGCAGTCATGCCCACGTCATCCCTCACTCCAACCTTTCACATGCAGAATAAAACCCCAACTCTTCACCACAGTCCAGGAGGCCCTGTCCGGTCCGGCTCCTGCCCCCCTTCAAACCTCATCTCCTGTCCTTCTCTTACCTTGCCTCCTGACACTAGCCTTCCTGCCATTGCCCTAACTGCCTTGACACGTCTAGATGTTCCAGGGTTACCTCTTCTGAGAGCCCTTTTCTACCCACCCGAACTCTCTAAGAGCTCCACGCTCCCAATGGGCCCCCGTCTGCCCCTAGGTGTCAGCTTATCTATGTATCTTCTGCCTCTCAGGCTAAATGGTAAAGTCTGTGAAGACAGAAGACACCCCTTGTCCACAGCCCCAGCACCCAGAATAGTGTTAGGCATTTCATGGTGTTCAACAAACACTTGAAAAAGAAAATAAATAAAAGGCCAGGAGTACAATCCAGGCGAAGGTCTTGAGCTTCTTTCTACTCCAACAATCTCGGAGTCGCTGAGTGGCCCAGCAGCCCAGCTCACCTGAATAGTGATTTAGGATCTCAGCAAGTTTAGTTGGTGCTGCTTGTTTGAGACTGAGTTGATTTTCCCCTCCTGGATTCCTTCCTGTGTAGGCAGCTGACTGCAGGGCTCAATGAGTTAACCTAGGATGTAGTAAGACTCAATAAATGTGTGTTGAATTGACAGTTGGGTTTCTATGATAAGCAGCAAAGAGTCACAATAGAAATTGCAAAAAAAAAATGATGTGCTTGATGATTGACTACATACTGCTCTCCTGATACCTGCATAAACAAACAGCACCATACCTATTGTGACACTCTTATATTTTGTGATCAACGGGAGGGAGTGGGATAGGTGATCAAGGGGACATTGACTCCTGGATATGATCTAATTATTATAGAGATATTTTCAGAATCATGGACCTGCGTGGCACTGTAGAAACCATCCAAGGAAAAGAGTGAATTAGATTTTGTCCATGAGATCCTCCGTGTGCTCCTCAACTCCTCCTCTGGCTATTGAGTTTCTTCTTTGAAGAGGTAGACCATTTATCTTCTGAAACGTATATACTCTTATACCAAAGACATACCGTTGATCACACGTAGTTGCCTCTGGGCATTCTTCATCAATCGAGAAAAGATCTGCGGTGTGATGACTGGGAGTGTTGGGGGCAAGAGCCCAGGGTGGTGCTGTGCCACTGAACCACAGCCATTCTCTGCGTATCTTGCATTCAGCTCTCACAATGGAATTATGCTTATTTCAAGGCAAGTACAGAGACGGGAGAATTTGGGAATGTGATGGAAACCGCAGGAACCATGGAAGCCTGCGACCTTCCAGGGGAGGAAAGAGGTTGAAAGGAAGCCACGCCGGGCTGACTGGGGTCCTGGGTGACTGCACACTGCAGGCACGCACACCCTGAGACTCCTGTCTCACAGTCTGCAGCTGCTCTCGCTCACGTACTCCTCTCGGCCTCACCCCTGCCGGAACCCTTGCCTTAGGCCAGTGATCGGGATGAAGCCTTCGCTCCCCCCAGCTGGACGTGGAACCCAGCCCAGCACCAGGGGTGCAGCAGGGGAATTAATGCTGCAGATTAAAACTGGAACTTTAAATACGTACTTCACAGAAACGTTACTGTAACCCAGATTAGACGTCATTGGAGTTTCTCTCTTGCCACAGTGAGAGCACCCAGGTCTTCTGCTGGGTTGGCAGTGACATGGGCTGCTGTGGGCCGGCCTCAGAACCCATCACCCAGCAAAAGAGCATTGTTTCCATGGAAACCTGCAGTCTGTGACCCAAATACCCAGGTTAAAATGTGGCGGTTTTATTTCACTCAATGTGTGGGTCAGCTGGGGATTGCCAATATCAGATAAAAATTGGGCTTCTTTTCTTAAATGTGTGGATTTGTTTTTTCCACCCAGATTGTCCATTTCTGTCAGAATAACGGGGGACCCTGTATTCTAAAGCGTCTGTGTCGAGGTGGAAACTCGGTACGGCAGAATTAGCCAAGGCTGAGTTGGAAATCCTTCTCCGGCCCTTGCTCATCGCTTTTCCTTCTATTTCCCAAAACCCTGCAGGGCGAGCCTTGCTGAGACTTACGGACAAGAAGCTGGAGCGAATGGGGATTGCCCAGGAGAACCTCCGGCAGCACATCTTACAGCAGGTGCTCCAGCTGAAGGTGCGGGAGGAAGTGCGGAACCTCCAGCTGCTCACACAAGGTGCCCTGCTGCGTCGGGGGGGGGGGGGGTTCGGGGGGCTGTTGCTGGGGGGGAACTCCGCCACACAGGGGGCCAGGGACCACCTGTCATTGGTTCGGTGCTGTTTTGTTTTGGCAGCATCCCCTTTATTTAAAAAAGTCTGTCGATGTAAAAGCCACTTCTCAAACTTCCCTCTTTCATAGCTCACTGAGAAGGATGCTCAGAGGAGTCTCGGATGGGCGGGCAGGGCGGTCTTAGTTCATTGTCAAGGTCATCACACAGCACAGTGCAGTGCAGAGCTCTCTCCGTCTGGCCCACTCGGACGGGGCCTTGGAATCCGAGCGGTCCCATCGTTCCTGTGACCAGTGTTTGGTTTCACTTGGCTTTTTGCCGACTACCCGGGGGAGGCCATTCTAGAGGTCTGTGTCTATGTGCACACGCGTACACACACACTCCAGAGTTTGTGAGACCGCTGTTTAGAATCTTGAAAATAGAACCATTTTTTAAAAAAAACACACAATAGACTCTAGGGAAGTTAAAACTGGAATGTTAAGACCATATAATTCTAAACAAGAACAATTAATAACTTCAATATGTTGCGATCACTTGAGAGTTCCGTGGCTGGAAGTGACGGCATGGAGCTGGAATTCGGAGAAAACCTGAGGTCACTCTGTGTGGAACTCGTTTGTCTCCGGTTTTGGTTGCTGTCAACCGCCATCGGCTCTAACCCTTTATTTTATTTTCATGCCCCATTGTATATCGTTTTAAATGAAAGGATAATAAGATATGTATTTTTGAGAGCCTTGGGTGTTTTTCGATATGTGGAATATTGTAATTGGATGCATACTGATACTGGAGAAATCTGGGTCAGCCAAGTTTTATGTTATTGCATTTAGATGAATCCAGTAATAGTCATTTGCCTGGAGGAAGTAATGTACTGCCTAAAAGCGGTCTGCCCCAGAAGGATAAATATAGACGTCAAGTGATATGAAAATAGTATTGTTTATTTGTTAGGCATTATTTGTACTTGTCTCCAGAGACTTCCACTGGTAAATGGATAGGTATGGGTACATCGAGTGATTTAAATTTGAATTTGACACATTGATATACACTAAAGTTTCTTTTAAGAAGTAAATAGAGAGCCAAAGATTTATCACAAGAAAGTCCAGTGTGATGCTATTCATAAAACTGAAAAACTAGAAACTACCTAGAGGGCCAGCAATATGGAAAGAATTGAATAGTTCTGCTTAAATTCCTACAATCCAATATAATGCAGCTATTCACATTACACTTTCATAAATATATAACAACATGAGCGCGTATTCAAGAAGTGACAGGAAGTGGCGGGGAGAGGCCATATATAAAATTTTATTTAAATATGAGCCCCATTTTATAAAAAATATTTTTATATGTACATAGAAAAAGAACTGCAAAGGAATATGCCGATATTTTGATAATGGTTCTCTCTGGGTGGTGGTATTGTGGGTGATTTTCATTTTCTCCTTAATATTTTTCTGTACTCTCCAAATTTTCTAGTGTAAGTCCATATTACAGTTATGATCAGAAAAGACACATGCATTTTTACAGCTTCAATCACATGCATGGCTCGGCCAGGTGCTGTTTGGTGTCTGAGGTTTCCTCCGCTCCGTTTTGTTTTCCTCCTGTGATGATATATAAAACAAAAATGGGACCTGAATTTATCACGTGTGCCCTAGACTCTTTTTTATCTCTGCTGCTGTCAGCCTGCAGAGTGTTTGCTTTGCACAATCATTTTCTACAGCTTTCATCGCCCTAGATGCATAATATATAAGATTTTTCCTGAGATAGTCCTCAAGTCTATTAAGCTAAATATATGTTTGTGTTCTGGGAAGGTAATGCTAAGTTCAGCCTTTTCAGCTCAGTTGGCGTCTCTTTCTTTAGCTCTGGAGAGCTGAGCCTGTTGGATCCTTGCATTCCGTTCCCTCTGAAGGAGGTCGCCTTCTCCAGCTCTTGGATATGGTGTCCGCACTCACAGTACCTTCTTCATTGCTTTCCACGTCAATGTTCACACCCATTTCATGTCAGGCAGCCTTTGGGAAACCCACAGCCTTCTTGAAAAGATGGTTTCTTCTTAAAACATGAAACAAAAAATGGGCAAGCTGTTTTATGGTCTTTTTGTTTTGTTTGTTGTTGTTGTTGTTGACTGATAATAGAAGTTCTAAAGACAGCTGGGGTTGCCTTAAAAAAAACTGGGTCTAGGTTTGCTATAGAAGGATGGAAATTGGACTTTTGGTGGTGAGCACGCTGTAGTATATACAGATATTCAGTTATAGTATTGTATCCCTGAAGCTCATATAATGTTGTATACCCATGTCATCTCATTTGAAGACAAAATATCACCCATTAAAAGTCACTCCCCATTTCCTCCCAACATCCCCCCACCCCACCAGCTGCCAGCCCTTGGAAACCTCCAATCTGCTTTCTGTCTGTTGGCCTGTTCTGGACATTTCCTGAAAATGGATTCATTCAATATGTGGTCATTGGTGACTAGCTACTTTCACTTAGGATAATGTTTTCCAAGTTCACCCATGTTGTAAGTAAGTGTTAGCATTTTATCTCTTCTTATCCCCAAATAATATTCCGTTGCATGCGTGTAACATTTTATTTATCCATGCATTAGTTGACGGACATTTGTTTTGCTTCTGAATCTTGGCTATTATCAGTAATGTTGTTTTTCAACATTTGTGCTCAAGTTTTATATGGACCTGTTTTCATTTCTCTTGGGTATGTTCCTAGGAGTGGAATTGTTGAGTCATATGATAACTCCATATGTAACCATTTGAGGAGCTGCCAGACTGTTTTCCAAAGCAGCTGTATCATTTTACGTTCCCATAAGCGATGGATGAGGGTTCCAATTTCTCCACATCCTTGCCAACATTTGTTATTGTCTTTTTTATGATAACCATTCTGATAAGTGTGAAATGGTGCCTCACTGAGATGTTGAGTTGCATTTCCCCGATGGCCAGCAGTGGTGAGCACATTTTCACGTGCTCATCGACCATTTGTGCATGTTCTTTGGAAAAACATCTATGCAGATTCTTTGCTTGTTTTTTAATTGGATTCTTTGTGTTTTCCAAGTTTTATTTTTGACCCACCATGTTTCACCATGCTTAATTACCCATTTTATTTACAAGATCTAGAGCTAAATATGTGGTGGCTGTTTCTAAAGAGGAACCCCATCTTCAAAGGGGGAGTCTTGCCAGCACTGGAGGCATTCAGAAGAACCTGCCACAGACTCGGAGACCAACTATATAATGAAATAAATGAATGGACTTTAAACATTCTTTTTTTTTTTTTTGCTCCCCCCACCCCCCGGACTCTAAACATTCTCTCTCAAGGAAACAACATGATTTTGGATGTAGAAACCACACACACACACCTCAAACCAGTTGCATTAGTTTGTAATCAGACCTCCAAATTAGACACACCACCTGAAAGCTCATTTCCCCATCTTTCTAGAGGAAATAAAATAATAGATAACTAAGCCTACTTTCCCAACTTGTCTTAAGCTTTTAATTCCACACCAGTCATTTTCACCCAGTTGGCCAGGAGCCCCAGGACAGTAATAGGACCAAGATGGTCAGAAATAGACGGAGATGATCCTGGCCAATGGGAGTTACCTGAACTCAAGGAAGATGAAATATTTGTCCTCCTTTTCCTTGCTGTCCCCCTTCTGGATGCTGACCAGAAGACAAGAACTATAAGGTATTTAACACAGGTGTGTGGTGGATATACAGTAAATATATCTGTTTATAGGCACCAGGACTGCAACAGGACAGAAATTCCTGAACCAGCTCATCAACTAACCAGAGCTGTCTTTCAGCTGAGATTCTGGCCTCTGGTTTCCCTGCCTTTATCCACAGGGGCCCTGTAACCACCTGACATTTGCAAGCAACATAATCAATGTTTGGCCCTGCTTTAATGTTGTTTCCCTTGGTCCCTTTGAAGTGGTTCCCTCTTCCCCGCAAGCCTTGTGGTCCTCTGTGTCCCATCAGTGGCTCCACAGGATGTCCATCTGGTGGACTTGCTTGTAGGAAACTTTGCCCTGTGAGGGCACCTTCAGTTTTCTCTCAGGACACTCAGTGCAGAGCTGGGAATGTTACTGTTATACTTTCCTTTTGCTTGACTCATGACAGACGGAAGGAGAGGTGTCTTTTGTGACACGGAACAGGGTGCACACTATTTTGGGATCCTTTAAAGTGATCCATAACCAACTGTATGATGGACATCATTCGCGTTTTATTAATGGACAATATCTCTAGGAAGAAAATCACCCCAGGGATCCCAAAAGCTTTCCTCACACAGCTAATGCGTGTTAAATGTTTACTGTATACAAAGCACAGCACCACTTGTCATGTCTACTCCTGACATTGACCCTCCCCTAACCAGTACTGTTGGTCCCAGCTTACACACGGGGAGGCCGAGGATGGAGAATGTCAGTGATACACCCAACGTCAGACAACTAGGAAAAAGCACAGCGTAGGTCTGCCTGACTCCACAGCAAACTCTTCTCCAGTACACGTCTCTACCTCTGATCTGGCAAACGGGAAGAACAATTCCTGTTTCGTGTGGTGCTAAGATGATTGAATGAGATGTTATGTAGATGCCACAGAGCATAGTTCATGGCATGTGCTTTGGAAGCCGGTTGGCAACGTTTGGTGTCAAGGGCCAGGGAGTCAGTATTTCAGCCTCTGAGGGCTGCACGATGCCGAAGCAACCACAACCAGTCTTTAATGAATTGGGCCTGGCAGTGTTCCAATAAAACATTATTTACAGCTGTAATTGCTAGGCGTGGTTTGTGGGCCCCTATGTTACAAGAGTAAAAATATAAACTTTTGATATTAGTTCCATCAAGATTATTGTTTTTATACTTAGTATCTTCCCTTTTGAACTTAAATTGCTTCCTTCAGCCCCAGGGGCACTATAAGGTGGAGCCACCTCTGGCTCCTTTTCAGTGTTTTCTCATCTACAAGTCCATGGGT